AGCTGAATCAATGCTTGTGTCGAATGATTAATCAATCACAACCTCAGAAGAACTCTATAAAGAATTGCTATTGTAGAGGTGTGCTAGGGTTACAATACGATCAAAAGAATAAAACTGTCAAAAGCGTACATACTAAGGTGCATGCATGCACTACATATAGTAAACCCTAATAAATGAAACACGGCTGGACAGGCCCAATACCGTGAAGACAATGGACTTAGACCAAAAGCCCAATGACGCAACACTTCTAAACCCAACACCGTGAAACCAAACCGATGCCCGATTTGGTCGGTTTTCATGGTTTCAAACCGAACCTTGTAAGGCAATAAAGACTTAACACTTTGAGAATTCAAAAACCAATCCCAAACACCCCCTGGACATCTCGTTGGCGGCTCCCTTCCGGGTTTCTTTGATAAAAGTGAAAACCCTGAACAACAAGATTATCTCAGTGCAAACCTAAAGAAAAATGGGCATCCCAGGTTTGTACCGGTGGCTAGTCGACAGATACCCTAGTACACTTTGTTGCGTTGCCGAAGAGCGTTCACGCTTCGTTCATGGCCCAAAAATCGACAACAGTACACTATTACACTTAATCCAAACAGCGTCGAATTCGATAACATTTACATCGATATGAATGGAGTTATCTATCCTTGTTTTCATCCTGAAGGCCTGGTACGTACCCATTCTCATCTCACGCAAATACATACATACCCCCTCATCTAACAAGAGTACTCCCTGACTCCAAGATATTTTTCTCTTGCGTTAGTTTTCAACATCGTCATTGATAAAAAAAAAAATTGGTTTCGTCCAGGAGGAAGTTTCACAATTGTTGTAATCTTTAAAAACATGATGAAAGAAACATTTTGAAACTAAAAGGACTCAGAACGTCTATAAACTGATTACTATAATGTTGACTTATAGTTTGTTATATTTTGAAATTTTTATGGAAGAGATTAATATCCGTATCAATCCTAAGCTCGACAATTTTGTTTGTCCCCTTTCTTTTTCCAACTAGAGGTAGCATGTTCCATACTATGGATAATTGTATTGTTCTGATATTTTCTCGTTTTAATGAATGTGTTGCACAGCCTACCCCTCACATATGATGTTGTGCTCGGGCCTATCTTCAGTTACATTGAAAGGGTCTTCTCAATTGTCAGGCCCCGGAAAGTTCTATTTCTTGCAATTGGTTAGTGATTTATTTTGTCGCTTGTATATAAGAAAACGAAGTTATTATGTTCAAGTAGCTGACATTTATAGCTATAAGGTTGTGTAAAAGTCCTATCCTTTGGTCCATCCCACTAGCATGTGTGAGGAAAAAGTGTGTCATATTAACACCAGCAGGGTAATGTATATCCTAAAAGATAGATGGTATTTGTGGATTTCTCTATGAGATCATGTACAACTGGAAAACAAACAAAAGAACATTAGAAAATAGGTTATTTAAATAGTTGTCCACTTCTTTATGTCTTCTATTTCTTGGAGTATTTATTTATGTAAAGTGTAAAGTAATAATATCACCAGCTTCTTTATTTATTTTTTCTTGGGCATGCCTTTGGAATAACTTGTTTCTAGCTTGAATTAAAGGGCCATTTTCACCATATGTTGCTTTTATTTTCCTCCAGATCATTCTTTTTTGCATTCAAATAAGTGACATTTTATAAAGAAGTTTAATTGTTCATCTTTACAATGTTGAGGAACTTGATGCAGATGGTGTTGCACCACGGGCCAAGATGAATCATCAACGGATATGGCAGCTTGTGAAGTGAGTTTTTTAGCTTTTGATTTTTTTAAAAGCACCCTTCATAAGTTATAGTTTACAGTTTTTCTAAATACCCGACCCAACTGTCTTCAGATTTATGCAGTAGAGGTGGAAGGTGATATGAAACTGGATTCAATGTGATTACACCTGGAACCGAGTTTATTGATTTATTGTCTTCTGCTCTTGAATATTATGTGCACTTGATAATGAATTCAGACGTTGAATGGGGAAAAATCAAGATAAATGATTTTGTGTATCGCTATATCATTATTCTTGTTGATGGACATGGCTCTTTTGTCCTCCTTGCTGATAGGTGGTTCTTTCCGACTCCACTATGGTTGGTGAGGGGGAGCACAATAACTTGTCTTATACCCAGTCTCAAAGAAATTTGCCTAGATATGATCCAAATACGATCGGTAATGGACTTTTGGTTTGTAAATTCTATTTTGATTCTTTCTAAACCATGTCTATTGTCTCAATGTTGTACGGGGTGAGCATTTGGACCGGACCGAACCAGATCAGACCGGCTCTTGGACCGGACCGATTTCGGAGAATATTGTGGACCGTGGACCGTACCAGATGAGACTTACCGGGTCCAGGTCCATGTTCGGGTCTAGGTCCGGGTTTTTCGGTTCTTGGACCCATTTGGACTGGTACAACTTTATATGCATACGGTACAACTTGTTAAAACGTGTTTTTGGGTTTGATACGACTCGTTAAAACGAATATGTTGTTGGGTTTGATACGTTACAACTCGTTAAAATGAATATTTTTTTGGGTTTGATACGGTACAACTCGTAAAAATAAATACGTTTTTGTTTATTGTGCCCTGTGGACCAGTCAAACTTTGATTATTTATACTTTATATTATTTGTTTGAAAGATTGTAACTCGTTAAATATAACACCAAAAACAACAAAATTATAGTCTTAAATCATCTAGAAACTCTAAATTACACGTTGGAAAAAAGTGCATGTCAATCCGACTTAAAACGAATGAGATATATGCTTGTTTAAAGAATTTTACAGATTACAAAAGTTTAAATTTCTTGCTGAAAAGTTGAAATATTTCAGCTTTAATATCGCATCTTTGAAGGATTATAACTCATTGAATATAACACCAAAATCAACAAAACTGTAGTCTAAAATCATCTACAAACTCTAAATTATATGTTGGAAAAAATCGCATGTCAATCGGACTTAAAACGAATGAGATATGTTTGTTTTAAGAATTTCACAGAATACAAAACTTTAAATTTCTTGCTAAAAAGCTGCAATATTTCAGTTTTTGATATCTCATCTTTGAAGCATTGTAACTCTACGAATATAATACCAAAAACAACAAAATTATTGTCTAAAATCATCTACAAACCCTAAATTACATGTTAGAAAAAAAAACGCATGTTAATCCGACTTAAAACGAATGAGTTATGCTTGTTTAAAGAATTCACAGAATACAAAAGTTTAAATTTCTTGCTGAAAATCTTAAATATTTCAGCTTTGATATCTCATCTTTGAATGATTGTAACTCATCAAATATAACACCAAAAACAACAAAATTAGTGTGTAAAATCATCTACAAACTCTAAATTACACTTTGGAAAAAATCGCATTTTAATCCGACTTAAAACGAATGAGATATGTTTGTTTAAAGAATTTTACAAAATACAATTTTTTAAAAATATAAGCCGGTCCAAAACTGGTTTTTACCAGGAACCGGCCGGACGAGACCGGTTTTGCTGAAATACTAGAACTGAGAACCGGCCCGGGGGTCCAAACAAACGGTCTGGTCCGGTTCACCGGTCCGGTCCACATGTCCAAATGCTCACCCCTATAATGTTGTTTAGGATGCAGACTTGATCATGCTTGCAACGACAACCTATGAAATCCACGTTTCAATCCTGAGAGAGGTCCGTCTAACGTCTAACGTCTAATGTCTAATGTCTAATGTCTATTTAGGATCGGGACTAAATAATGGTTTCTTTAGTCTTACTCTTAGTATATAATGGACTCACATTTTAATTTTGAGATTGTTTAGTTATAATTTTAAAATGAAAATTTTAGTTGAAATTTAAGCCGTTACATACTGTAATAAGTTTTGGGGTATACTTGTCACATTTAATACTATCATGTAAAATATTCTTTTTACCATTGCTATTCTAACGATAAAATTGCACCTTTACCATTAACATTGATCTATCTTTCATCGCCTAGTCGAACATTAGATTTGTGCCACTAGTCCAATTCCTCAAACATTTGACATAAACTCAACATGTGATTTGAGCACCCATTATCAACGAACCAAACATCCTCATGGAAGAATTATCTTTAACATGTCCCATGAACAACATTTCAAACTCATATTTTTCTGCAAAATTCACTTAATTTCGCTTGTCATTTTTCTTCTTTAATTTATGACAGGTTTTTGTAAAAGAATTAAGTTGAGCTTTTTTTACTGGGTCGTTACTCAGAAGAATGACCACAACCTTTGCCTCTACCTATGAAGCTACCTTTTTCGTGTCATCTACCACTAGAACTTTCTCCTTTTACCTTGAATTTGGAAAGCTTTTTCCTTGTCTTGTTATTTAGATCTATTCAACTGTTCCTCATGAGCTTGCAAGGAACATATTAGTTCATCAAAAGTATAGTTAGACCTATCATGGGCTTCCTCAATTATAGTAACTACCGGATAAAATTTAGAAATAAGACTTATGAAATTTTTTTGAAACAACCGTTTGTTATTCCCTCTCTATATGATTTCATCTTGGTTACAATTTCACTTTCTCTAGATAGATAATCTTTTGCATATTGATTATTTTGCATGCTCAAAGTTTCTCTAGATAGATAGTCTAATGTTTCACAACGATTAACTTTTTGGAGACTTTAAACTCAGTCTTGAGAGTATGCTATGCCTCCTTTATTGTTTTGGCTTAAACGGAGAAAAGGTAGTCATGAACCATTTAATTGAAGAAATAAGAGAGATTTTGCATCTTTCTTTTTGTTTTCCTTCAACTTAATTGTATTGATCTCTATCTGGATCAACAAAGCTCTTTCAACTTGTATCCATCTCAAATTCAATAACCTTTTTGGGTAGTTTTAGGAGAAATGAATAAAATATGATTATACTTTTTAAACTCAAATTATCAGAAGAAGCTTAGGATCATACAAAATTGAGCGTTCCTAAATCTAATAGTTCAAACGAAGCTATAATTACTACCAAATAGAAAAGAGCGGTTCGATTCAAGTGTTGAAGCCCATACAGTTGCCAAATGGTGTCCAGAAGCCCACATCATCCCCTTCCTCCTTTTGATCTAGAGGATTTGTTGGATTTGAGAATCTTGCCTTATCGCTAAGCTCTTGAAAAGAGTTGAGGAGATTCTGAAGCCTTGCAACAAACTCGATCAAGGAAGATGTGAAATTGGCCAAAGACAAAGCACTTGCACTCTCGTAAGTCCTAACCTCACGTTCATTAAGAACGGCGTCCCCAAGAACCGAGAGGCGTGAAGGCCACTGTAACTGCTGTTTGAGTGCCTCTTCATCACAGGAACCCCAGTTTGCAAATGAAGGAAGATTCATGGACATATTTGTGATATGGCGGTCGATGTTTTTGAAGGTATGAGAATGTTTCAAATGGGGGCTTGTTGGGCTTCGGTGGAGGTCTCTTCCTCGGTCTCCTCTTGATCAGGATCTTCCAATTCTTTGTGTCTTTGTCTAGCAGCTGCACTCACAAGATGGTATGATTTTTCATCTATCAACATTTGCAACTCCTCTGCGGCCTCGTGCACCTTCTCAAGTAGGTCAAAATTTGGGCTTAATTTTTCCAGCTTCTCCAACTTGTTTCCCAACTCCCTTAGTACTTTGGCACCTTCACTCCCTACCCTCTGAATCTCGTTTCTGAACATCATCCTCAGTTCAGCTGCTGCCTATAAAGAAATCAAAATAGAATCTCATAAATCCCATCAATGATGTTGTTGCTTAAGTCTTAAATCAAATCAAATGTATACGTACGTACCTGTATTTCTGAAAGTATGCACCCATGCATTGCCATAACCATAAAAGCACAGTGCCTTAATGCACCGCCAACTTTCACAAATTGACCCCATGGATATCTCAACATTTTATAACGCCCATGGGGCGGTTCCCAAATCGCAAAGCCCAACTGCATGTATATATAATCTTGTTGGATGCCTAGCTATATATGTATATATAAATTATACATAACACCAATCGAAAAGGCTAAAATTAGAAAGAAAAAAGAAAAGTAATACCAGAGCATCTTCTTGACTTGTAGACTGTACTGCTGCTCTATATCCCGTATAGAGAGGGTCATCAGTCGCCTGGTATACAAGAATTTTCGAAGGTATCCTATCATATTCCACGTTTTGCAGGTAACTTCTAACACATTCTGTTGTATTCCACAAAAAAGGATGCGTGGTTCAATATCCATACTGACACTATATTGCTTGTTGTTAATAATATTAGTATATGAATTAATACATGCACTTGTTACCTTCCAAGGAAGTAGCAACACCCCTAAAATTCTTCACCACCAATTTGTGCAGCTCTTCTCCAGACCAGACTGGATAAATACATATGTTAACTATAAAACATATGCCTGCTCCGACTATAACCAATAACAATCGAGAAACGGCTGTTCTAAAGAAGTGGGAAGTCCCCGACACCAGTACTATTGAAAATGTCAACATGAACACCCTGAAACCATATTCGTAGGGCTTCATTGATGGATAGAGTTTGATATAGGTTGACACAGAACCTAGATAAATACAAAAACAAAAAATATATTTATATATAAATCTAGCACATAATATATATATATATATATATATATATATATATATATATATATATATATATATATATATATATATATATATAATTGTTGAAGCTGACCTGCTATGAAGATGCTGATGATGACCACAATTTCATGCCATTCCCCAGCCCACACAGATACTTGAGCAAACCCCAATGCAAGCACTGCCGCAGAAAATGTCCCCAAAGTACGATTAAATCCTTTGCTAAGGGTTGCTCCTACGTACAATCACAAAATAATACAAGCACGTGATGATGATGATCTTGTCGCGAGCTAGCTAGCTAGTTGGGTGATAAATTTAAATTTAAATTTGTTTACCGATGCTAAATTCAAATACGACAATGACAGTTAGAATTGCCCAGATGCAATATTGGCTGATGTAATCAAGGGGTTCTTTAAAAAAAATGAGGACGGAAACAAAAGCAAGTGCGAAGCCGGACTTAGCAGCAAAGATGATCTGTCTGGGGTCGGACCGACCCATTTCGTAAACCTTGACAAGGAACTCCTGAAGATCTTCCCATGATTTCGTGATTCTGTCAAGGATGGACGCATCATCATCACCATCCTTATTATGATCTGACTCTTCAAACAAGGCCTTGCGAGATAACAACCTTTCTTTGCTTCTCTCGGTGTTAAAGTTGTATGCCATTTCAGGATTGCTTATGAATAATAATACATTAATTTCTTTTCATTACCGGTGGTTGGAAGGAGAACGAGGAGGCCGATCCGATCTAAGAGTTGAGTGGTAGTGAAATCAGAAGTTGTTTCGATAGGTGAATTTTACTCCACATGTCATTTTTTCACATTTCCATTCAATTTATATTAAAACCAAGATAATTTTACAAACAATTAAACTCAATCTTTTATTGTGTTATTTATGTTTTATATATACAACTAAGTTAATTTAAAATTAAAATTTTGTATTATTTCATTATTAGTAATTCAGCCAACCTTTTATTAAATAAGAATTATAATTTATTTCAAGTTTAATTATTTTTAGAATTATAAGAGATATAAACAATGTGCTATTTACAAAACAAACTAAATATTTTTCGGTTTATATTTTTAAAACTATAAAAAAATAGACAAAATTGTGTAGGTGGTCCCTGTGGTTTGCCAAAACAGACCTATTCAGTACAACTATCGGATAGTATGCTAAGTGTCGGGTTCTGTTGTTTTATTTCTTGCATGGTTGGTTCTTATGTTTTCATTTTGTTGCATTGTTGACCCTTCAAGCATTAAATTTGAAATTTAAGCAGTTAATTTTTAAAAAATGACCAACATATCTTGGACCAAATGTGAAAAATACAATATAGTTTGAGGACCATTTCCGAGATTGTGAAGGTGGAACATACTTTTGTAATGTAATTCTAAAAAAAAGAACAAGTTACTGAAATCGTCCTTGTGGATTTTTTAAAGTTGTGTGTTTGGTCCCTAACATTTATTTTGCACTCGGACCGTCCTCGAGTTTTGATTTTGTTACGTTGTAATTCCCTGCTTAATAGGAAATGACTATAATACCATTTATATTTAATTTTCAATTACTTTATTTATTTTAAATTTATCTGAAATTTATAAAACACGTGGGCCTGCCTGATTGGAACCTGCACCACAAGTTCCATCATCCCTTGTTAGTTGTTACCACATCCCATAGAACACCCAAAGCCTCCGCTTGTGGAGGCAAGCCGTTCTTTCCAGAAACTGAAAGCCAACCCATTATCATCGGAATCTCCAACATCCCCAAACCCATCATTACAACCATGAAACTCCATCACCTCTACTAGTTTCTTCTCCACACTACCATCTTTTCACATCATCGTCATCTCCACCACATCCCATCAAAATCGCATACAAACACCACAGTAAGAACACCATCATTGCAGCCATCGTCTTCTCCATACAACCATCGTCGCCATCTTCATAGTTGCAAGAAACCAACCCTTACATACTCCGGCTTCCTTCTTTAAACCCTACATCGACTATCTTCTCTCAACTCACATTAGTGAGCATCAAACCGCTGCTTCACATTCAATGACCACCCTCTCTCGGCCACTGGATTATGAATTTTCTTTTTTAGGTTCGTTTTAGGGATTTCACCTTAGAAGTTCAAGTTCAAGAACGATTTTATGTTCGATTTGGGAAATCTGATTCGTCTTTTTTTTTTGTTCATATTTATGAAATTCGGGAATAATTTGAAGTTTATTTTAGGGATTTTAGCCTATTAGTTCAAAGATTTCAGATTCTTTTTAGTGATTTCTGGTTCATTTTTTGTTTTTTCTTGTTTGGATTTGAGAATTACATGAATTATTTTGGGTTCGTTTTGGGGATTTTAACCTCACCAGATTCTGTATTTTGTGTTCTTGTTTATGGATTTGAGCATTTGATGTTTTTCCAGATTTTTGCTTCGACTCGTTTTGTGTTTTTCCTGGATTTGATGTTACGCATCGTTTTTTTTCAATAGGGTGGGGCACTTTTAAGCCGGCTTCCTTCTTTAAACCCTACATCGACTATCTTCTCTCAACTCACATTAGTGAGCATCAAACTGATGCTTCACATCCAACGACCACCCTCTCTCGGCCTCTGTTGACGACTACAATCTCATCGGATTTGAATTTTCTTTTTCAGTTTCGTTTTAGGGATTTCACCTTAAAAGTTCAAGTTCACGAACGATTTCATGTTCGATTTGGGAAATCTTATTCGTCTTTTTTTGTTCGTAATTACGAAATTCAGGAATAATTTTAAGTTTATTTTGGGGATTTCATCCTCGTAATTCAAAGATTTTAGGTTCTTTTTGGTGATTTCTGGTTCATTTTTTGTTTTTTCTTGTTTAGATTTGAAAATTACAGTAATTATTTTCGGTTCGTTTTGGGGATTTTACCCTCACCAGATTCTGTATTTTGTGTTCTTGTTTATGGATTTGAGCATTTTGATGTTTTTCTAGATTTTGGCTTCACTCGTTTTGTGTTTTTCCTGGATTTGATGTTACGCATCGTTTTTTTTTTCGGTAGGGTGGGGCCAGGGCGGAGCCAAGATTTTATATAAAGAGGGCTTATATATTTATATAAGTGACATTATAGAAGGTTAAATACTTTTTATACGAAATAATAAGAAATAATTTGAACGGACAAATCATAATATAATTAAAATTTTAAATAATAATAAGATTTTTTTGTTTTTATTGATGATGGATATCATATGGGTTAGATTTTCCTCAAATATGAGTTCTTTTAACAAATATAATTAAAAATTTAAATATTAATAAGATTTTTTTTTGTTTTTATTGAAGATGGATATCATATGGGTTAGATTTTCCTCAAATATGAGTTCTTTTAACAATTAGTATCCTTCATATCTTATATGATATACTTTCTAATGCTATAATGCTATAAGTACAATTTGATAATGTATGTGGTGGTTTTTGTTTTTTTTCTTTTGTGTTTTGTTTGGTTATAAATTATATGTTTTTCCTGGATTTGATGTTACGCATCGTTTTTTTTTTCGGTAGGGTGGGGCCAGGGCGGAGCCAAGATTTTATATAAAGAGGGCTTATATATTTATATAAGTGACATTATAGAAGGTTAAATACTTTTTATACGAAATAATAAGAAATAATTTGAACGGACAAATCATAATATAATTAAAATTTTAAATAATAATAAGATTTTTTTGTTTTTATTGATGATGGATATCATATGGGTTAGATTTTCCTCAAATATGAGTTCTTTTAACAAATATAATTAAAAATTTAAATATTAATAAGATTTTTTTTTGTTTTTATTGAAGATGGATATCATATGGGTTAGATTTTCCTCAAATATGAGTTCTTTTAACAATTAGTATCCTTCATATCTTATATGATATACTTTCTAATGCTATAATGCTATAAGTACAATTTGATAATGTATGTGGTGGTTTTTGTTTTTTTTCTTTTGTGTTTTGTTTGGTTATAAATTATATGTTTTTCACTGGCTTTGTCAATCATTTTACTGTTTCAAGCACTAGCATCTATCCTTTCTTTTTACAGACTATAGGCATAAAAGAAAAAGTACTTCTTATGTTTCCAAAGCACTTTAATCATAAGAGGATACACTATTTCGTATACTATTCTATATATTAAATAACTCACATGGATTCTTAGAGAGAAAGTAAAGATGAGAGAGAGACTAAAGATTTCAGAGTTAGAGAATACAATTAAATACATCGATTCTAGATGGGCGAAACCTTAAAGACTTTGAAGGGCTTATGAAATGTGGACTCGGTCAAATGAGCACAGAGACGATCGAGAGGGATGCTTTCCTTCAAACCAAAGTTGTGGTTTCCATTGAAGGTGTGACTGGGTAACCTTTGGAGATGGAGGCCGGGTGTTAGGGTTTCTTAACTTTGAGATTTGTTTTTTTTTTATCTTTTATGTGTTTTATAGAAATTTTAATGTTCCAAACTAGTTGGGATTTGCGTTTTTAAAAGATTTCGAAATTTTGATACTTTTCCTTTCTTGATTTGGTTTATTGGTTAAATTTTGATTTCATGATATTGTTTTGAAATTTTGAAATAATAAATTATCTTGTTATTTATGTGAATAGAAAGGTTAAAAACCAAGGATTCAACCAAAACCAGAAGTTAAGGGGGTTCAACTCAAATTGCTTTCGAAACCCTGAAAACAAAAGTAAGAGCAACAAAAAAATATGAGACTAATATATTAGAATTAGACATGTTAGGGGGGGGCTCAACACCCGCCTGCCCCCTACTGTCTCCGTCACTGGATGGGGCACTTTCAAGTGGCCGCAAATGGTGGTTGCTGATAACTGCCAGAGATGTGGCCTGTGGTGGTGCCGGAACAAGTGATGGTCGTGGTGCAGGAACTAATGGTGGTTATCGATGACCGGTAATGGTTGTGTTGCAGGTGAGAGTATGAGTATGAGTGGGTCCACATCTCTAGATTTTGCTTAATTAATAAGTGATAATTAAAAAACTAAAGATTAAAATATAAAGGGTAAAATAGTCTTTTTTATGTTTAGTAGCGACCAAAGACGCAACAAAATCATACTATGAGGACGGTCCGAGTGCAAAATAAATGTTATGGACCAAACATGTAACTTTGACAAACCACATGGATGAATTCAATAATTTGTTCAAAAAAAGTGTTTATATAGTTCATTTTCCTCCCATTCTTTTTTAATTAAAAATAGACAAAACTACAAAAATGTTTCATGTGTTATGATTTTTTTAGGTTTTAGTCCAAACCTCGACTTTTTTGGTTTCGTGGTCCTTTTGAGCTAGTTTCATTGTGTTTTTTGTTCCTTGGAAAAACTGAAAAGACTATTATATTCTTAGTATTTTTATTTTTCATTTTTCGTTTTTTTTCTTAAATATTTTATAATTATTAAATATACAAAGGGGCCCATACTCATGGCTTACCTGCAGGTAGCAATGACTTATTCTTCTGCATCTCTAGTCCACAAGGACACTCCATATGTATAACTATTATTGGATGAATAATGTGTGCTCTTCTGATGGTTCGATAGACCTATGTATTTTATCTTTTCTTCTTCAACAAATTTATTGAGTTCTCCCATCTATAAACAGAAACATCATCACTAAGTTCAAATTCACCAAAAGGGAAATTTGTTGATTCTTAACGGACATCCTTCA